ATGTATGTATGTATGTATACACGTAGGATCTTTGACTGCCGGAGCTCACGGCAAAATGAAGGAGATGATCTCTGAGGACACCGGGAGCTTCTTGACCAGTCGCTCGTTTCTCTTGAGTCGCTTCCACAGCCAGAGGGACACCTCGTCCTTGAGACTCCGCGGCGCCCTCAGCATGCCGTGTGCCAAGTAGCAGAAGTACCGACAGACGGGCAGCCCCTGGATGGGCGTGGTCAGCAGGTGGTCGTCCAGGAAGATCATGAAAGCCTCCTTCAGGTTGGTTTGCGACATGGCGCGGCACATGAGCACCAGGTGGCTGAGCTCGGTCTGGTAGCGCTCGTACGAGTCGATCACCTGGAAGCGCGTCAGGTAGGGCAGGACGTTGTCGAAGAATACGTTCATGGCATACCTGCCGTCCAGCTGAGAGTCTGGGTTGGCGCCGTACCTGAGCAGCGTTCTGAGAATGGTGCGGTTCAGACCCAGGGAGATCACAGCGTCCATGTACTCAAAGAGGACGTTGTTGAGGACGCGCCGAGTGGTCCTGTCGCGGGACTCGATGGTCGTGACTATCTTTTTCATGAACAGCTTGGACCAGTAAGAACTCTCGAAGAAATTGACGGATTCTCGTGCGTTTTCCATGACGCACTGGATCGCTGAGGTGTATCCCTTCCGGGACACGGAAAAACACGCTTTGGACGCACATTTCTCTCCTTGGATTTCGTCGTAATGCGGATTCGCTTTCGCGTCCAATAAGATTTCCAGGCATTCGATGTAGAAGAATATCTGTTGGCCAACGGTAATGTTAAAGGCGCATTTAATGAGAGTGTACATCGGGTAGGTTCGGGGCGCTTTGCGCGAGTTCACGTCCTCACCACAGGCGATCAGAACACGGGTCATTTCGGGCATCACCTCGTAGCGGTAGTCGGCGATGAGGCTCTGGGAGTAGAGGATGTGGAACAAGTTGGTCCCCTCAAACAGCATCTGGCGCTCCCTGCTTTGCGAGGAGAGGAGAGCGGCGAGGCAGTCCGGGAAGAGTTCTCTTATGGCGGTGAGCACCGCGCTTTGGTAGTCTGTCGGGGAGCACTTTCTGGTGAGCAGCAACAAGATGCTCCCCGGTGACCTGGCCTTGGTGGCGAGGGAGAGCGGCTCGTGTGCGATCATCTGCGGGTTTTGCTTCAGTATCACGTTGTCCAGAATCAGCTGAACGCATTCGATGTGACCTCGCTCGGAAGCCAGGCTGAGCGGGCTCTTGTTCATGTAGGGTTTGTCCGGAACCTTTTCTTCGACCACCGATCGGTGTTCTTTCTTCAGCCGAAATGGCTTGTACTTCTTCGTCCCCCTCACGCCCATCTCGAGTTTCGGATGCTGCTCCGTCCCCTCGTCAAACACGTGACTCGTGCGAGGCTTCGATAGCTTGTCTCTGGACACGGATTTCGACGGCTTCGGGGTGAACACGGAGATGCTGCTGTTTTCCCGACTCACATCAGCTGTTTTCTTTCCGCTTTTGCTTTTCCCTCGCTGGTGTCTTCGTTCGGGTGAGGCGCTCAACCTGTCCACTGGGTTGATAGTGTTGCTCTTTAGGAAGGCTACAGCGTCGAAGTTTTGGGCACTCTCAGACATCGTCACATGGGCTGGGACTCCAGCGCCGCCGATGACCCCGGGAGGTGCGTCATGGAAAATGTCCAAATAGATAAAGAGGCGATGTTCTTTTTTCTTCAGCGGCGTTAGCCGACGTCGTCTAGATAACTTGTCGCACACCGATTCGGGCATGGCCGACCCTTTGTTCTTGTCCCGGTGTGGGTGAGGCGGAGGGGAAGACTCGGGTTGGCCGCCCGCTTTTGTAACGCTCGTGTGTTCTCTGGAGACCATGGACACGTTCTTCCGCTTGTTCCGCTGTTTGGTCCTCTTGGAAAAGTCCCGCTCCATGTTGTCCAGCTCTTCGTCCAGGTCGCCCAGGTCGCCCAGGTCGCCCAGGTCGTTTTTCTTACCTTTACCCGTTCCCTGGTTCAGCTCTGCCATCGTCTCGGCCTCTTCGGAATAGGATTTAATCATTTTCAGAATTGAGTCCATGTTGTTGGTCCACCTGCTACTCAAGTTGTCTTGCCAGTTCAGTTTCTTTTTGAGCGCTTCCGGTATTCTCACCTCGTGCTTTGGAAGAGTGGCCTTGAAGAAGTCGCTGGGTCGCTCGTCCAGGATGATCCTCAAACAGTCCGTCATGCCCAGAGAGGCAGCCAGATGGGCGTAAGGACAGATCGAGGGTTGGTGACTGGGCGGGAAAAAGTAGGTTTCCGACAACAAGAAGCTGAGTATCTCAGGTCTGTTGTACATGATGCAGTAGTGCAAGATGTTGAGCCGGTTGCCATCACGCCAGCCGGTGACGAGGGGCGCGTAGTTCCCCGATACCTTGTTTAGCAACGATCGGATGCTTTGGAGAAGTTTTGGGGGGCCCGCCTCTAGGCTGTTGATGATCTTTGTCATGAGATTGTTCAGCTGATCCTCGTTGGACAGATCTAGTCCTTCATCCATCCTCATCCTGATCCTAGCCGCCTCCTTCTGTTTTTGAAGGTAGTAAGCTTCAGCGAACGTCAAACCAGCGCTTTTTTCCATGATGACTAAACTGTATGTTTTTCACCCAAGATATTAATATAATATACGATTTTGAAGATCTTTACTGCTGTCTTTCTGTAAATCGAACCAGTCAGCTTTCTCTTCTGTTTGATCTAATCACAACCATTTGGAGTGTCGGCGTCTTCTACTAAAAATTATTGACCTTCAGGTTTCAGTTTTCTCATGCAAAATCTGAACGCACTATGCTATGGCCGTCGTATGTCTATATTCATCTAACACACACGACAGTTTCATCTAACAAAATTTCTACTCAGTAACCTACTTTTTCATGAGTAGCATGTTCTTAGACTGATAATTCTCGAGCAAAATTCCATGAAGAAAAAATTCTGAAAAACACTGTTCTTAATTCCCATCGTTTCACAAAAGCAGGGGAAGGAAGCGGCAAGCAGAATATTTTCGACGTAGTCTAGGAGAAAAGGAAACGTCTCGCTATTTTGTTTTTCCTCCATATCCAACAGCCGCTCTGTGATTCACAACCCTCTCGTTGGGATCATCAAGGCCTTCCTTCTTTTTGCTTCCATGATAAAGCAAAGAGGAAAGAGAGTCGTAGATCTATGTTATTTATGATTTGATGAATGTGTTTATTTTTTTTTTAATGAATGAAAGCAGGACTACAAAGGTTGCAAAGAGTGCTCTGGGAAAATCCCAAATAGGATGTGCATTTTTTTCTCATGTTGAAAATGTGTTTTTAGTGATGTAAGACTTCGTTGCCCTCCCTATTTCTACTCTAAAATGAAATATTGTCTGTAGTGTGTGTGTGTGTGTGTGTGTGTGTGTGTGTGTGTGTGTGTGTGTGTCTGTGTGTGTGTGAGTGTGTGTGTATGAGTGTGTGCGTGTGTGTACTAACTTGGTACTACTTACTTGGTTGGAGAAGAGGCATCATTGCAGGCAGCACAATGCCATAGCTGCTCCTCCCACGTCCTCTCCAGGATCCATGAAAGTGTCTGCTGCTGACTGGGTGTTGATAGAGATTTAAGGAACTTAATTTTTCAGAAAACGCTATAGTAGGCAACGATCAACATCGTAGCTGGTTGTTTTGTCGATCGTTCTGACTTTGTATTCACCATCGTCATTATTGTTAGATCTACGTTCTTTATCTGTTTTTGTTATTGTAATGATTGTCATTAAAGGGGTTGCGAGCGCCGTAAAACCCCGTCCTAAACTAAAACTAACTCAT